CCCGGGGGGGGGGGGGGGGGCGCGGCCGCGGCCCGGGGGCGGCGAGAGGGTGAGTGTCCGCGTGGCGCGCCCGGCCTGGGCTCACTTCTCGGGGCCGCGCGGTGGGGCGCGAGCGGGCCTGTCGGGGTCGGGGTCGGGCCCGGCCTGGGGGGCGGGGCCGAGATGGTCCGGGCTCTGTCCGCGGGTCCGCCGCTCGCTCTGTTCTGTGCTCGCTCCCGCTCCTCGCGGCCTTGGGGGCCGTCTGGAGCCAGGCACGGCGCTTGGCGCCGGGGGCTGCGGAGGACACGCTCCCCGCCCTCGCGAGCGCGTCTTCCGGCATGGGGTCCTCAGCCTCCGCACAGCTGACAGGTCGGCCGACCCATTCCCGGCTGTGAGGACTGCCCTGTGCATTGTAGCATGTTGAGCAGCGCCCCTGGCTTCTACTCACTAGATACCAGTAACACCCCCTCCCCTCCTCCCGCTGTGACAATAGAAATGTCTCCAGACATTGGCTAGTGTCTCCCGGGGGACAACCCTCCAAGACCCCCAGCTAGAGAGACAACCATGAAGGGTTGTGACAGGTGCTGTGAAAGAAACAGGGTGCTGACAAAGTGAGTGCTGGAGGCTCCTGAATGGCGGGGGGGGGGGGGGGGGGGGGCGGGGCGGTACTGCAGTTAGCTACAGACCTGGGGGAGAAGCAGCCAGGGCTGGGGCGATGCCCGAAGAGGACGGGCAGACGGAGCAAGGCATACTAAGGCCCAGAGTGAGAAGGGCTTGCTGCACCCTAGGGCAAAGCAGTGCAGAAGCAAAGTCAGTGAGGCCCGACTGGGTCCAGGGTGCAGGGCAGGATTTTATTGTGCTTACAGGCAGAATAGCTGGAGGACTTTGAAGCGCAGGAGAGACGGGATCAGATCTAAGTCTAGTAGAGAGCGTTCCGGTTGTGTGTGCAGGACGGACTTTGGGGTCAGTGGGGAATCAGGAGAGGGTGAGGGGCCTGGGCCATCGTTGCCTAGTGCTCATTGGGGTCCGCTGTCCGGGCCTGGTTGTTTAGAGTGAGGCCAGGGCAGTCAGCTGGGGCTGAGTGTGGGGTCCGGGATGGGGTCCTGCTGGGTCCCAGCCTGCTCTCTGGGGGCTGGGGTGGCATTCCCCCCTACTCTGCTGCCTTGCTTGCTTAAGAGCTCTGAGCTGCCTAGCCTGTCTGCCCACCCTTCTCACCACCCCTCGGACCCCCCCCCCCCCCCCCCCCCCCCCCCCCC